CCCTCTAATAAGCCCTCCCCTCTAATAAGCCCTCCCCTCTAATAAGCCATCCCCTCTAATAAGCCATCCCCTCTACTAAGCCCTCCTCTCTTATAAGCCCTCCCCTCTAATAAGCCCTCCCCTCTAATAAGCCCTCCCCTCAAATAAGCCCTCCCCTCTAATAAGCCCTCCCCTCTAATATGCCCTCCCCTCAAATAAGCCCTCCCATCTAATAAGCCCTCCTCTATAGAGGGAGAAATTTATGAAGCCCCCCCACCCCTCCCCCTCAAAAAACAAAAAAATTTCAAAATAACACCCTATGTCTGTAAGTACAATTAATCTATTAGACTGGTAGAGATTCGTTCTCGATATCAGTCGGGAATTTTGCTCCCTATCCAGGCGAACCTCTCGCAGATAGCCAAGATGCCGATATGGCCGTCGATGAATGAGACGAGGATGGCATTTTGCCCGAAATCCTCTTTTTCGGCCTCCCAACATGCAAGCCACACTCCATGCTTTTACCCTTCTTTCACAGAAGTACACAACCAGTGACGTCACAAGGCTGTTTTGGCCGCGCCAAGATGGCCGCCAATTTTGATCTCAGCCGGTCAACTTCAAATGATTAAAAATGTACTTTCTCCTATGCGTTGGCCCAAAAAAAGTACACAGCGTATGCAAATAACGTTCAAACTCTATTATATTACAAAAATCTCGGATATGAAAATTACGTTTCAGTAGCACTTTAACAACCAACATGATACAGCCAACGAGACTATACCATCAGACTTCCTCTGTTTATTTTACTTTGCAGGAATCCAAGAAGAGATTTGATGAAGATGAAGTATTTAAGAAGGTGGCTTATCAAAGAGTTGTGGATTTACAAGGACGTAAACCTGATGTTACAAAAGCCTGGAATCTTATTTGTGATGTCTCTAGGCAAGGTAGTTAAAATTGTCCCTCTTCATTCAAACCTTAAACTCCGGTGCAGGCTAATACTTTTGTCATCGGCTGTGTCAGTTTGATTCCAATGCTGTAGACTCATATTTTTCTTTCAGAGTTTGACAAAATTTACGAGCGACTGGATGTCACCCTGATCGAGCGAGGAGAGTCATTTTATCAAGATATGATGCCTAATGTTGTCGCAGATCTTGAGCGGAAAGGTTTGTGACTGTTTCGTGTGTTTTACTGTGCTCTTAGCTACATTTTCTGGTTGGAAACGTGTTTCAGACAAGTGATATTGCCCCAGCCTTCCCTAAACTGTAGTCCACTTTCAGAATCGGCCTGTCTTCGTAAAGGTGTTTGGAAGACAAAGCGCGCATAACAGTGGTGTTTTATTTCAGGGAGAGTTATCGAAGAAGAAGGCCGCAAAGTCGTTTTTGTTCAGGGACATAAGGTACCGCTGACCGTTGTCAAGTCTGACGGTGGATTCACATACGATACATCTGATATGGCGGCCCTGCAGCAGAGAGTACGTGATGAAAATGGCGACTGGCTGATTTACGTCACTGATGCTGGCCAGGTAAGGGCTTTTGTGACATAAAACATTTTTATGTTCATTGAGAAAACGAATCCAGGATTGCTTTGGTTTTACTTGGATTCACTTTTTGATTGAGGCGTGGCCTTGTCTCTGCCACTCAGACACCAACCGCATAGTCACTCACGCTTTTCCCGCGCATCAGACAGTTTGGTTCTTATGCCTCTTTGTGATGTTTCCTTGATTTTGATTGGCCAGTGCTTTGGTTTTGGTATAACGGCAACCAATCAAATGCGTCTTCAAGATGGTGTAATGGAAACGGAATTCAAGAAGGAAAAACTAAAAACGAGAGGTTACTTAGCTTAGCTTCGTTGACACTGTTACCTCTTCCAAATAATCCTTTTCGTTTTTACAAGTAAACTCTGATCAACAGCGCTCAAGATCAAGAAAGTACCAGTGTAAAAAGTTTATCCCCCACACCCCTCCCCAAAAAAAAAATTAACAGAATAGCAATAAGAAAAGTTTTCCTAAGAAAACAAAATAGTTTTAATTGATAAAGCCCTGTGAAATTTAGTGAACGAAAAGCCTGTCTCAATATCATTGCTGGATGATTACCTGCCATTATTTGCATTCATTTATCCCAGGGAGATCATTTTAAACTGATCTTTGGAGCTTCAAGAGAGGCAGGTATTTATGATCCCAAAGTGACCCGAGTGGACCATGTCGGGTTTGGTGTCGTTCTCGGCGAGGACAAGTAAGTCAATCTGAGCTTTTTTTTCAGGGGGGGATGGGGGACAGTAGAGAATGTATGAGCCCCTTCCCCCCACTCCTTGGTATAAAAAGATGAGACGTCATGGTATGCCGGCCCGTAAATATTACAGTTAGACGGGAGTATTGAACGACCCTCTCCCCCCTTGATATCCTGCTCTGGCTCCCGAAGTCCTTTAACTTGTAAGGGTAAAATTTTGCCTTTGCATGTTTTTGCCGTCTATATTTGAATTTTTTTTGGCTCGGCATATTTATATTTCTTCTTTTAGGCTTCGCTGTTCTCTTGTTTCCTCAGGGAAAGCCACTTATTGCGGTCGTGATGCTTCGTACCTCGCCGCACGTTTCTTCCCCTACCACCCCTCGCCCCTTCCTTACTTTTCATAGCCAGTAACTTCTGGTTTAATCACAAAGATGAAAGACGCATGGCTCACGAGAAAGAAGGGTCAAGTTGTTTCATACGGATGGAAATTTTTCGTAAGAAAGGAAATTATAACGTTTGGGTTCTCTGTACCCTGCTTAGATTACAGCAGGTTCTGACCATCTCTTCTTTTTCTTGTAGAAAGAAATTCAAGACCCGTTCCGGAGACACAATTCGACTTATTGATCTGCTTGACGAAGGTCTTAAAAGGTCACTGGATAAGCTGAAGGACAAGGAACGAGACAAGGTTGGTTTCTCTAGATGTGAGGCGATATTCCATCTTTTCGGCTCTCGTCACTTGTTTTGTGTTTCTGCCGTTTTTCTTGAAGTTTCTGTGAGCGTTCTCTTGCTTGTCAGAGTTATGTTTTTCATTTAGTGTCAAAAGTAGTCGGTTTTGCATTGGTTTTCCTTAGCTTCGCTCAGTGATTGGTCAAGAAAACTTGCGCCATCCTCTGAGCCAATCAGATGCAAAAATAAATCAATCGTGACTCCGTTACTCACACTTTCCCGACCTGCACACACTTTGCATGCTTTCGCCTTGAATTCTCATTGGTTCCTTTTCGCATTTTACCTTTTTCTGACTGGTTGTTTTGATTACGTTGGCTTTGGTCCTACGACATTCAGTCGCGAATTCACCTTGAATGTCTATAATCTTTAACCTTCTTTTGACGGGCTTGCTTAAGTAATGGAACACATTTTTCCTGGCTCTATAACGTGATAAAGCCACTTGAGATGTTGGGAAACACTCGGAAGGCGAGTGATTTCTAAGCTTTCTGAGTGTTCTCCCAACATCCCAGGTGGCTTTATCACATTATAGAACCCGGAAAAAAATGCGTTCTTTTTCCTTTCATGACAATACTAGTTACACGCGGGCTCTTTAACCCGATAGAGCATCCGTTTGGACACTGAATTGTGTTATCAATTTTATTACTATATGCTAAAACAGTGGATAGCGTTGAAGGCGCGTTCTGATTGGCTAGTCAAACTCCGAATATCCTTTGCTATTTACCTCCGAGCAACTCGGGAATAAATGGCGTCCCGCTTTGCATCCGTGACAAGCGAAGAAATCACTCAAATTAATTTTTGGTGGTGTATATTATCTCACTGTTTCAGTATATACTAAAACAACTAAAACAACTATTTACTTCAGTGTCGGTGGTTAGAGGTGGATATATCCGCCACTATCCACCGACACTGAGGTGAATAGATGTTAATTATTCGTGGCTATTCTTGATGTACTCGTTGATACACTTGAACGTATTGTTTCTTTCGCATTTATTGTTTCTGTAGGTTCTGACCCCCGAAGAGTTAAAGGCTGCCCAGGAAGCTGTAGCTTATGGCTGCGTTAAATATGCAGATCTTTCACACAACAGGGTCAATGATTATGTGTTTTCATTCGATAAGGTAAGTCGTATAAATCGTATGAGCAAAAAGAGAGCGTCTTGATTAAGCCGTTGATAAATGAAACCTTTTGACCGTGCACTTCTTGTCTTTATGATGTATGGCTTTAAGAATGCCGTGACGATGGTTCAGGAAAGAAGCTCAGTTGTGAAATCGTAATTATCTTAGTCAACTCTTTCATGTTTTGGGTGGAAGAAGAGTTGACATATTCGAAGTATTTTTAAGGCCATTGCAAATTCTTAAATTTTACGGTCGCGCTTCAATCTGCGGCTGTTTTGGTCGCCGCAGCGACTTGAAAAGAATTTGTGTTGGAGTTACCTCTCATCCAGGGGGCATGGGATGATAACAATAATTGTAAACGCTGCGCTTCACATGATAGAGTCTCATCGAAATCATTGCTCTCATCAGATGTTGGACGATAAAGGAAACACAGCAGTTTATCTTCTGTACGCGTACACTCGGATAAGGTAAATGTCATCTTCATTACAGTCATGGACCAGTGTATGAGATTATGGACACTTTGTTCTTTTGGTAATTGTCTCAGAATTTTTCTTTTTTCACTAACTTTCGTCTATGGGTTTCAACGCTGTCGATTCTACCAATATGCAAAACTTGTTTCTATCGGATCTACTCAATGGCAAATTTGATTTGTTTTCTGGGTCGTGCAAAATTACCGTGGAAGGGAAGGAAACCACAAAATATGAGTTTGGTAAGAGAGAGAAAAAATAAATTAGAAATATAATCTAAAAAGGATTAAGGGAGATCAAGTAAAGAGACGATTAACACGGAGCGCAAGTGACTAGTAGAAAAATTTTTGAACCCTTTTAACCTCAGGAGGGGCTAGCATCGAATTTCTTTACAATATCACCCGCGAATCACACATAAAGGTCACGAGATTAAAGAAAATGACCAGCGTCCTAAGAGGCTCTTGATTTGTAAATAAATTCTCCTTACCAGCACCTCTGGAAATGTATGGAGAACAGTATGGAGATAATGCTTACTGATGCTGGGGTTTAAAGAGTTAAAATACACAAGTAGTGCGCAGTGATCGAAGCGTACGTTATTCTAGCAAATAATTCGTTTAACTTCGAGTTTCCTTGTGGGTCAGTAGTAAAATACCAGACCTTTACACGGTTTTTTTGCTGTCTGCATTGTTTCGAGTGTCTCTCAACCATTACGTTTTGGTTTTTTTTTTTTTCAGATCCATCATGCGCACGGCCAATATTGACCGCAAGAGTCTGGAGTCTTGTTTAAACAACATAGAGATTTCTCTGGACCATCCGAAAGAGTGGAAACTCGGCAAGTGTATCATTCGCTTTCCCGAGATCCTTAGCCGCGTTCTGGACGACTTGATGATGCATACGCTATGCGAATTCATGTATGAAATGGCCACCACTCTCACAGAGTTCTACGACAACTGCTACTGCGTGGAAAAGGACCGGAAAACGGGCGAGGTCATCAAGGTGGACATGGGACGCCTGCTTCTTCTCGAGGCCACCGCGCGCGTCATGGAGACTGCGTTTTACATTCTGGGAATTAAACCGGTCACGAAAATGTGAACATGCCGTTAACAGACCATTTAAGCTCACAACAGTGTTATCTAAAGTTATAACCCACCCATTATTTTTGGCGCGATTTTATTGGTTACTTTACGTCACGGGGTGCAAAATCACAGGACAGTTATCACGCAAGAACCCCCGTCCGCGTCGTTATTTGTCCTCCGATTTTTTCCTTGAAAAAGAAACATAGTCAACACAAGAGTTTCAACTTTTCCGTTCCCCTATATACAGGGAAGGAAACCAAACTGGTTTTTTTTTTTTTTTGCTTGCTTGCGTCAAACACGCCCATTCGCCATCAGATCACCACTGGCTTTTTTACTGTGTTTACGCGCAGTTTAATTGCGATGTGAAAATTAATGGGTCGGTTTTAAAATAAATAAAGTCCGATCTGGCTTGCTGGTATGTCGGCTGATAATGTCCTTGGCTTTGAGATTTTCCTCAGAATTTCATATTTGCCCTCAAAACTTCGCTTCTTGGCCAAATATTCACTTTTCGGACAATCTCGCAGCCGCGGACAATATCAGCCGACAAACCCACGGCCCGAAGGGGTATATTTACTAAATATTCTAATCTTTATATTTCGAAGGCAAATATCACACCCGTTTTAGGTGTCCTCAGTTCTGTATTGCAGGGTTGACTTCCCAGTCGCTAAAGAGAAACTTTTTTTTTTCTGAAATGAAAATATGGAATTTGTTGTAGACCGAGGCAAGAGCATGTTACGATTGTTATCTTTCTTTTAGAAACCTTAGTTCAGCTCTTGACATTTTTCCAAGCGTAGACGATATCTCTTTGAAATTGAAAGTATTTACTAATAGTGATATTGTTATGTGATCTTGTTACGGGTCAAACGTCATGAATTACTTAGCATTCTTTTGTACAGTTGCTGCATTTCCGAATATTTTAAGCAATACATTTCAGTCCCAACTTTTCCTATACGGCCACCATCCACCGGTTTTAAAAATGCATGTGACCTTACTGTATACTTCAAATCCCTGGATCTTTAATTCATGTGGTTTTATCATCGCCGTCAACCGCACTCTCAAAATGAAACAGAGAGCGGTGAATACGATTCAGGCGATGAATGTGACGATCATAATCACGTTTACGAGGACAATAACGGTCAGGATCACGTGACAAGTACGATGACAATATCGATCAGGATCCCGTGACAAGTACGATGGCGATAATAATAACAACGATCTCGTGAAGATCTCACGAACGGATGTCTGTTATAACTTTGCATGTGTTTGCTTTCTCAAGTGTATGATTTCCTATGGTGTTTCTTCTTTGCTTACGTTCGGTATAAAATGGCTGTAATTGTATTAAGGACCGATTTTTTTTTCTCAGCCAAGACTAGAAGACTGTTTCAGTATGTACGTCATGCCACGTGACCGTGTGTAGTAGAGTGCAGCCTCAAAAAAATGGCCACCAAACAGAGAAGAAAGCACTGGTTTACATCTGGCTGCTTTTAAGGGTTACAGATGGAAGAAAGCAATTCATTCATTTATTTGTTTAAGCAGGTTGATTAATTGACAGCTGTAATAGCTGATGTGGACCTGCTGTCCTAAGAAAGCAAGAAAGGCCTTAAAAAAAAATTAGAAAAAAATAACAATCTAATATTTGATATGATTTCAATGTTGAACTTGCTTTCATAATATTTTCCAGTAAATTAGCGGCTTGTCCATTGCACGATTTATCAACTGCACCACTTAGCTGAATTTTTTCGTCATTTCCAACGAATAATGAGATGCAGAAAGAAAGATTACTACATTCAGTTTGACTGTGATGATGTTTTCGTTGTCTTGGTTTCTTAGTGTATACATTGAATATATCATTCTGTAACTCAATTGTGATTATTTTAGATATGAACCAAGCGTTCTACCGTTAATGCTCACCGGGCTATTGCTTTACTACATCTGATCAAGGTAACCATTCGAGCATTAGTAATCTTTTCTATTATCCGATAGATCTTGAAATCACCGTGTGATTACAACAAGATACGATATGACAGTCCACCAATCAGAGCGCACACCACACTGAAATTACAAATCTACTATGGTGATAGAAAATGTTGGATTAAACTCTACATGTAAATTCATTAACTAGACGTTAAAACATAATGGGATACTACAATCGATAAACCAAAGTCGAAATGTTCCCAGCTTTTTCTCTATATATGTCAATCAATTTGACACCACACAGCCTTTAGATGCGCGGAGACAAACTCGTTTTTCCGTTTAAATTGAAGAAAAAGCCGTAGCTGCAGACTCAGGTCGTTCGCCTTCAAGGAGAAATTCAGCAGCTTCTGCCTCCATGCATGCGCGATAGCCTTCCCTGTGATAGCTTGTGAACATGGTTTGTGTGAAAAACTGATTCCCGGTGGAATGCTGTGGAAACGCCCCACACATCCACTCTGACAATCCCCTACATGCATTACCATGGCAACATTCGCAACAACAGAAGGTCAAACGGTCGACTTCTTCCGCCGAAAGCTCCGGCCCAGGTCCCCAGTGACCAGCCTCAAGATCAACATCAATGTCACGTAACACCTCTCCCCAAGACTCAAAAGTCTTCTTTTGTACGGATTTGTCGGGATGTCTGGGCGCAATGAACAGAATTTCACCCTCGCCCACTTTCGTTTTGCCGTCGCCATCGAGATTGGTGTCATAGTAATGGACTTTGAACCTACGTAACAGCATTACTATCAGTAATTATTTCTAAACATCTCTAAGGCTATTTGCGGGAGACGCAATGGGCTTATGACTAGCGTACTGACTTCCCATGTAAGAAGTCTGGGTTCGAGCCCTCACAGTAATTCTATACACCCAGGAGTATAGGGGAATACTGGGGAAATTCCAAGAAAGATTGTGGGGGTAACTTTTGAGAGGCTAACATTCCATTCGGCACGAAAAGTGGGGGACAGTTTATTTATACAGCCTATCTGGCATAGAGTTCTATATTCATTCCTAACCTGTAGCTGGATGGTTGTGAACCTGGGGGTTTTTCTACAAAGTTGTCGCGGATGTCCTCGGCAATGTCTCGTCCATCCATAGCAGAAAAGGAACAACCCAACTTTTTCCTGGCCATATCCAGGCCTGCCAGCAAAGTCGCTCCGTAGTCCCCGTCAGAAATGGTACGGCCGCCATTGACCGAGACAATTTTTTTTAGTCTCAACTTCAAAAGAGGCAGAATACCAAGATTTTCAATATGGCCTCCGTCACTCAAACGCAGAACCGGCGGGGGATTGGGACCTTGATTAGTCATACCGATGGTTTTGCGGACGAAGCTGACGTAAGCGACATTGATTGTGAACCATCTGCGATTAGACAAAAAGGAAAGTGTGCTTCTTTCCATCTTTCCCCGTCAACCCGAGCGGATCATTTCGTAACTCATAATTAAAGATGATCAGTTTGTGAAAGCAAACCATCAAGTTACTTGATAATTGTTTTTAACTAATAACTGTTTGCCTCGCGGTTTCCTTTTTCCCATTTTTTTTCTCCTATTTTAAAAGACTTAGCGTCACAATCATTGGGGACCCGGCTCGTAGTCTAGCTATGGCTGTAGCGAATCACTTTTAAGCCACAAATAAATCCCTTTGGAGAACAGCCAGTTGCAACTTACCTGGCGATTCTCTCGAACCTTCTAGGCTTACTTCCGCCGGTTGGTACAAGAGCAGTCAGTGTGAGCAGCACAAGTATAGTAAAGAAACACAGTATGCCGTAGGCTAAGTAACGCCGCTGGTCGGTGTGCCAGTATACAATAAGACACAGCACCAAAGGCAGGATCCGGATTACCTCCACAAGGAAAGGCAAGAACTGAAAACAAACCAAAATAAGAGAAAACAGTCAGATAATGCCAGGTTAAGGTATTTTGTTACAGATGTTAAGATTTAGAGAGTAAATGAATCTGAATGAATACAAAAGAAATTTTTTGAATCCCTGCTCCTTTTAGCGGGAGCCTCAGTGGCCCAATGGTCAGTGCCTGGACTCTGGGCCGAGAGATCTGGGTTCGAACCCTGGCCAGGGGGACATTGCATTGTGTTGTGTTCTTAGGCACTTTACTCGCACAGTGTCTCTCCCCGGCCAGGAGTAGAAATAGGGGTTACTAGCAAATTGTCAGGGAGGCCTGATGAAATGCTGGGGGGGAGGGTAACATTACGTAGAACTAGAAACCTATCTAGGGGGGTAGTGGTGCTACATGGAAACCAAGGTAAGCTGCCACCAGGTGGGTCAGTAAGCTCGATTACAGACTTTACATTTGCTTGTGCCTGTAAGGAAATTATAATCCGTAAGTTGCTGCCCGACGACCGACGAAGCTGCCAACAATCTTGTCGTAGCTAACGATTTAACGAGATAACCAGGGGCGTCCTCACCTGAATACAACAATTTCTTTTTCCTTCGTGTCGCTCGTTTGCAACAATGGCCGTTCCCATGGCAATTCCGAGAATAACCTTTAAATCTCTAAAGGATGCGTCATCACTTTCCCTCGCTCCCATGTGATGATCAACGGCAGCAGCTGATGTTGCCATGGCATCTGACAGGTAAATGTCCATAGGCATCAGTTTGCCATCAAACTCTCGTTCATTGGCTGGCCGGTCAAGTCGATCAATCCCGTTAGGTGACATCATCAGTAGTTCATAATCTGGCTCCTTTAGGGAGTTAGTGCGTCTCCATTTGTTTATGGTGATACCGCTTATGTAAATTGGCTTCACGTCATCAAGGTCCTCCAGTGTCAAAGCTGTGGAGATATTTATTCCTCGTGGCATGGAACGTGGACACCTCGGGCAGCGCAGAAAGAGGTCGCGCCATGAGATCCCGGCACAGCCACAATAACCGACGCTTGCTGATGTGTATAATGCTTTTTGAATGCGCCATCTGTAAGTCAATTATGCGTCAATCAACTCGTAACATCATCATTCCCTCTTCCGAGTAACCCCCCGGGCATTTGAGCTTAAGGAGACTTTTTCGTTCAAATTCCGGCCTCGCGGGGACAAAATTGTGTTCAAAGGCCCCCCCAAAGTTACAGATTTTTTGTCAATTGTTTTGTAAAGGGGTCGCGAAGGACAGTTAAATGCCTGCTGGTTGCATGGTGTGGGGAATGTTGAAGCTTCCAACTTATCAGCGCATTATTACATAGTGTTATAAATGGCTACCGAAAAAAAAGGGTAAATGCAGGGTTTATGCAGCCATAAGCCACTATCAATAAAGCTAGACCTCCTAGGTTGGAAGAGTCCTCTCATGAGCGTTGGAAAAACAAAAATATAGAATCGAACCTCACACTTTCGAATACAACTAAGCCATAGAGAATAGAGCAATACCCTTTATACCATAATATCAGCATGCATTTTCTCCATTCTCTGTTCTAGTAATCAATGCCTCTATTCTTGTGACCTTAATGTTTGATTCAGGGTTGATATTGTAAGGAGAAATTAGATGTTGGTCACTCTTTGGGATTAAAATTTTAGTGCCAATGAAACCAGGAAATTGAAGTCTGGTTCTTGTGCAGAATTCACCTGACCTGTTGTACACGTGACCTATACGTTGCTGTATTGTACCAATGATCGGTGCACTCCATAGAAAGAGGGTTGAAATCGCTAGCAGCATAAAAAATATTTCATCATCGTACTCTATCACCAACACTCTTCCATTGAATACCCTCCAGTAAATTACGAAGGAGTAGGCATAAATTACCAACATCAGCGTGGCATTTCTGCGCATGAGCGGGAAAGAAGACCACACAAGAAACGTCGGAAATATCATGAGGATCTTCATCCAATTTGGAATATAAGCCAGAAAAGTGTCGATAAACCACGGAATGAACACCAGGCCGAAGAATACGACACAAGAGGTGATAAGGAAAGTAAAGAATGCTTTTCCTTTCGGGATCATACCTCTCACCACTCCACAGACAATGGCTACCGTCATGGGAACTGCGAAAAGGATAAATTGCTGATTCACCACCTCTGGAGATGCATGGCGTTCAAGTTCGCATTCTTTCAATGATATATCAGGATTGCGCTTGGCAAGTTTCTTACAGGGCTTGCTTCCACCTCTCAGAGTACGTCCAAACAGGAAATCAACTACAAAGGCCAGTGGGCACGCGTAGGAGGACCAAAGGAGAATTGGAATAATCAAAGCAACAAATATCACCATGGTGAACAAAATAATCGAATCCAAGATTCCTTGGCAGGGTTTCTTCCAGTTGCAGAAGATTCCACTTCTGTTGCGCATGTTCTCGAAAAACTGTTTATGCCATTCGGGGTCATCCTTCTTTCCATGTCTGTATTTCCAGTCAAGGTATGCAGTGCCTGTGTAACCACCCCCTGAGAAACAGCTTAGGTAATCTATGTTGACCTTTTTCTGCAGCAGTCTGCGCAGGACACCCGAGCATAATGACGCTGACCGGATGCCACCGCCGGAAAAAGCAACTCCAATTCTCGCCATTCTTCAACTGCAAAATGGAAGGACAGAAAAGAGCTTAGGAACCAGGCATTGTTTATCACTGCGGGGAGGGAGATGGAGGATGTTTGGGGGGGACAGAGGGGAGATCAACTCTGGTCGCCAACAGAGTATGAACTGGGGACTATTAACTACCAATAAGGGTGTATCATAACAATGTTACACAGCCTATTCAGGGGATCAGGTTAATGTCATCGTTGTACAACCACAATTTCCCCGCCTCCGTCTCTTAGTTTTTCCAATTAGATGAAAAAAAGGCGGGGATGCGAAGCGGAAAAAGAAACCTTCCATGCAGAAGGATAAGCTGTGATATCGGTTACCACTCACTGCGTCAAGGTCGATGCTTGTCAAGGAAATAACACTGGACAGGAAAATATCTAAATAAGGGGGTAAAATAGATAAATACGGGGGTAAACAAAGTGTATTGATAAAAGGGCTTGGTAAACTAAAGAAGGTCTCCAATCTAAATTCGTGCTGAATGACACAGTTTCGTATTAGAATTATTTACATGTAATCGGGTTAATTAAGTCGTATGAAGCATGCATTCTGAGCATTTTTAGTTGGAGTAGATCAATGTGTGATTATATAAGAGCAGGTTTTTACTCATTACATGATCACAAATAATTACGCAAAGAATTTTCAGGGCAGATAATAAACCATCACATCTCAACCAACGCTGATTGTCAGTTGTAAAGGGATTTTACCATGACATTATTCAAAATTTATCCCTCTCAGTTTATATAATGGAGCAACAATACGCTAAGATAATGATTACTTTTCAATGTGATCGATTTTGTTGTTGTTGTTGTTGTATTGTTTAGAGTTGCGATCAAATTATTGTGTAAAGAATGCATTTGATATTCTAATTCGCTACCCCGCTCAAACGAATATAAAACATTTATCATTCAATAAGTAACCACAATTGGGGTGTGCCAATACGAGCCGTATGCGACCCTCTATTATGCCTTCGTCAACAAAACTGATAGGAATGATACATCAACATAGTCATTTGAGTTGGAAATTTCACATTGACAAGTGGTCCTAAAAATAAGTAGAATAATTGGAATTATTGCCCGCCTTCGGCATCTCGAACCTTTTACCACTCTATTAACTATTTATCGCTCTTTGATCCTCCCTTACCTATCCTATGGCGTGGCTGTTTGGGGCCAAGCTGCTAAATCCCATTTACAAAAAATCCTCGTCCTACAAAAACGCGTTCTTCGGCTGATATATTTTTCTGAACCCAGAGCACATGCGGTGCCATTATTTATCTCTTCAAAAATCCGGCCCATAAATATGTAATACCTTGAATCAGTTTCCTCAATTATGTTTGACGTCTCATTTCTAACTGTACCTACTAAAATTAGTAATCTTTTCATTAAAGCTACTGAAAAGCATAATCAGGATACGAGGTTCTCTTCTTCCGGCAATTTTTATATTAATCGATCGAGATTGAATCAAAGCCAGGGCTTTTTTTGCTAGCTTCGGAGCTAAACTTTGGAACTCCATTTGCGATGCTCTTCGTCAACTCCCGAAGAGAGCTTTCAAAAAACTCTTTAAGGACATGTTATTTTCGTTCTTAGAGGCTGAGGATTACTATGTTGAATCGCCCCTTCTACTTCAAAAAATTACTAATTATAAACCGGCTTTATAATTTATATTCTACATTCTATGGTGTTTCTATTTTCTTTTGTTTAGTGATGCAGTTGTATATAAGAGTTTTAAGTGGCTGTCTTTTCCTGGAAATGTTATTAATTTATGTTTAAGTTTTATTTGTAATCTATCACTACTGGCTGTACCTCTAATTCCCCCCCGCCTCGACTAGCTCCTGCAATTTGCGGGCGTGAACGGTCTTCATGAACATGAAAGTTTGCTTGACAACCGATTAATGTTGATATCTTGTAAAACGTGCAGATTAGATTAATTATAATAATTAAGTAGATGTCAGTACAACTTATGAAGTTTAAAGGGTCTAACCCATGATAAATACATTTAAAATATCTCTAGATGCAGATATATTTCTTGGTTTATCAGATACCGAGGTTAACAGCTCGCTTTCGATTGTTTTAAAGTACTGAGAACAAACGATGATATCACTTTTTCTTTAGTAAAATTCCTGTAAATCGAAGTCCGTTCGAACTTGTCAGAGAATTCGGAGCGTGATGGAGAATTTATTAATACCGCACGATTGGAGGTGTGAGCTGTGAGCTGTGGTATCGCATCAACAAAGCTTTCCCTGCGCAAAACAAACATGAAATTATTTGCTTGCTTTAAGCCGCATTTGCAGAGATCACATGGTCCTTACCAAAGAAAGTTCGCCTATCACTGTGAAAAGGTTGCTTGCTTCACTTCAATGACCTTTAAGTGAGCCTCTTAGCATACGCATGAATTCCTTAGCAAACATCGAGCCGGAGGTGGCGACAATCGTGATAACCGTAGCATTCAATCAGGACACACAATGATTCAAAGGTCAGAGTTGTTGAAAGTCATATCGACAACACCTTTTACTTTCAGAGCAGAGATACATTTGACAACTGCGACATTTTCGAAATTCTGAAGAAAGCATGAGAAAAATATTCGTTGTCATTTTTCCAGGTCTAAGATCAGCTCTTTATTTTTAGTGTCGAAAACAAACGGTATTCTCCTCTTAAGTATATGACTGATTACAAAAAATGTATATAGAAAGCAAGAATCGACGAAAATTCTGCGGGCATTCGCTAAGTCGGCTCAAACTGGAGATCCAAGCGGCGTAAATCAGATGCCGACGAAATANGTTTCTCTTTTTTCTCTCCTTTATCTCCCTGTTTACAATCCTTTCGAGCTGCGAAGCAGCGAGTTTCTCTTTTTTCTCTCCTTTATCTCCCTGTTTACACGCTGCTACGCAGCTCGGCCAATCTCGCTGCTTCGCAGCCCGAAAGGATTGTAAACAGAGAAAAAAAGAGAAACCTCTGGGGCCAGGGTAAGTTGTTGAAAGTCATATCGACAACACCTTTTACTTTCAGAGCAGAGATACATTTGACAACTGCGACATTTTCGAAATTCTGAAGAAAGCATGAGAAAAATATTCGTTGTCATTTTTCCAGGTCTAAGATCAGCTCTTTATTTTTAGTGTCGAAAACAAACGGTATTCTCCTCTTAAGTATATCACTGATTACAAAAAATGTATATAGAAAGCAAGAATCGACGAAAATTCTGCGGGCATTCGCTAAGTCGGCTCAAACTGGAGATCCAAGCGGCGTAAATCAGATGCCGACGAAATACAAAATTTCTCACTCAAATTGTGTAACTAAAGGAAACGAGCTTGTTTAGTCCGCCCAAACATAGCGCACACATTTAAAAGTATTCGCTGTAACGGCCTCGTCCTTTATGATGTTCTATTTTTCAGTAATTTGTTTGAAAGAAATGACCACTTCCCTACCTTGGAGTAGAGTTAATGTTCTATGCTGTTGAGCCCTGTTGAATCTTGGCATTAACTCAACGGAATTGAGCTCATTTATGCTAATATATATTTGACATTTGTGTATTTCAATAATGACCGGAATTCAGATGCAACGTCACCGAGATGGGCTAATAGAGAGCTTAAGCACCAGACGTTCCTGAGGTCACGAACGCCTACCGGAAGTCATTACT